GTTTATCATATTAATCAGTGCAGTATGCTCTCAGCAGTTCGATGTCATTGGCCTTCCTCTGAAAGGTAGTACTGCTATTTTTTCTTATTATTATATGATAATCTTATTGACGCAGTATCCATCAGTGTCAGAAGCCGCATTAGGTAGGTTGTTTTATATTATTCCATTGCGTCGGACAAAAATGGCTGAAGCTGAAATGAAATGTAGCACCAATTCCAGCTGTAGAAATTTTCCGAATCTTGAAGATTCAGCTGTCGGTGTTGCGTATCTAACTGACTTGCAAATTGTCATGCTTGAGCTAATGCCACCGTGTGAGACATACAACGCGAAAACGAATCTTTCCTCTGAAATTTATTACTAATGTGAAATGAACCGATGAACGTGCACCATGTGCAGTTGTCTCTCGTAACGTCAGCCCACATTAAAGTATATGTAAGAATCTCAGGGTTTTCGTGAATACTGTAATTAATATGCAAATAACTTTTCGTACGTTAGGCGATGAATGTGTTTTTTTCATGTGTGTTTGTTCAGTCGGTGTTTCTACGGCGATGTATCAATTGTGGTGTGATGTGATGAATGTGTGTGCATTGTAAGACGGCCAGAACAAAGCATCGAGATGGATCAGAGTTGAAGATTGTCTCTGTGCTTCATGGCGTCGCGCAATCATTCGTTCGAAAAGTTCATCAGCTGGCCAGGTTCAGGTGCCAGCTCGATGGTCGGTTTTGCATCAACAAAGTTCTTCGCTGATATCGTACTTTCCAACGAACATTTGATGGATCAAAGGCAGCTGCTGATGATGAGGGCAACATAGTCCAAAGCATAGACAATAGCCTAAGACTCTTAGTGATTAAAGGATCTGGTCTCCGGTTGTCTGGCCGCTCACGATTACCTCAGAACTGATAACATAGATTCCTACCGTATGATTCATTATTTAACACGTTTATGCATGGCGAAGGCATGAAAACAATTTCTCAACATCCTGCAAGTCGAAGTTAGTCGAAGTAAGGCAGTTACTTGCCTGGACAATTGTATCATCGGCCAGCTTTCCTGTTTTCCGCCATAGTTAAGTTCTTATGTCGCCGAAAGTGAAAATGAAAGTGATTATAAACAGCATTCCTCTGAGGCACTAAACGTGCAGATGGTTTTTTTCTTTCTTGATGTTTTATATTATGCTTTGCTGTGTGTACAATTCTATTTTGTAATTTGTAGCGAGATCATTTTTGCGCTAATGGAAACTACCGTTATTTAAGTTACGACTTTGCACCTTGTGCTGCACCGCCTAACAGAGGGTGGACTGATGTGACCAACTGATTGATGGTAGGCGACAGCTGTCATGAATAGGCTTGATCGATGTTAATACTTTCTGGCATTCACATTTTAATTGCCTCTTCGTATTCTGTGTGTAAAACAAGCATGCGCTTTCCCGTCCTTTAAAGTAAGCAGACGAATTCCGGCAGCCACGTAATCAAGTCTTGAACGTCCAAAATTCGATATTCAGATTAGCCGACTTTAGTGCAGGGTTTAAGAATTTGCTGCTTGAATTCCATCACCGGTTAAATATCATAGTTTATCTAGGAAAACGACAGGATATATCACAGGGCAGTTATCTGACAAGAAACCAGTAGTATGACATGATAAATTAGTGGCTACGCAAAGCAAGGGAACAAAACATTTGTTACATTTAGCTGAGTCAAATAGAGCTGTTTCACGGTGTGGAGATGGCTGAGAATGTATGCTCAGGACGCAGTGAACAACCTGCTAAATAACTCGGTCTTGGTTAAGATATTGACAAAATGTGAACGCGTGGACATACTGTTTTACAAACACGTTGAAAGGTTGCTGTTCACTAGATGGAATTCTACAACTTGGAACGCCAGATCGTTTAGCGGAAAGCCGCTTTACGAGTAAACTTGTTTCAGAGTGTCGCCTTATGATCTCCAGCTAAATGCCGGGGGAAAATAGTCAGCATCACTGATGTGCGTTTACGTATGCTGTAGAATGAATAGGCAGACAATTTGCCAAATCACTTACTTGTGTTAGTTGTATACGTTACGATTTTGAATGAAGGCTGGTTAATTCTA